CATTGGAGCGCTGCATACAGAAAGAAGGTTCTTGACTAAAAATAGCCGAGCCGATAACGTCATATCCGCCAGCAGACCGGCGGTAAAGGTGAGCGTGGCCAGCGTCAGCCCAATGACCGTCAGGTACTGGAAATGCCAACCATATGCCTCATTACTGCCAGGAAGGTCAATCGACATCTTTGGTTACTCCAGGGCAAGGACATGGGATGCTTACGCCATATTGGGGTTCTCATGCATGCTAGAGAGCGGCTGGTTAGTGAGCGGGCCAAGCACGGGGAGCACGAGCTGTAACAGAACTCAACTCGACATACTACTTGAACGAGAAGAAGAAGCTGGCTAGACCTAGAGACTGCCATGGAAACAAACATCAGCCCAAGGAACGAGGGACCGACTCGGGGAAGTGCTCACATGAACCAAGGCCGAGAAGCCTCTGGACGGGCTGGACAGGCGCTGCAGGGGATGTTGCCGCTGAAGCGACTGAATTGTTCCAGAAGACGCCATACTGGAAGCGGGATAGAGGTAGAAACTGAAGGGGTTTCGATTAATTAGAACGACACTCGGTTACAACCCGGAAAGTTGCAATCACTGCCGAAGAGGCATGAAATGAATAAGAGAGATAGGGATCTCACTAATGCAATGATCTAAAGAGCTGGCTAGGATGCCCGGCTATTCCGGGGAGGCCTTAGTAACCGGGGGCAGCTAAGCCTGACGGGGTAAAGCTGGGCGTAGCTGAACTGGACAGACCGCCGCGAACCGGAGAAACCCGCCGCCCGGACCAGCTGGGCCTTGGCTTATCAGGCCGGTCTGATTGATGGAGACGGCCGATGGTCTCCCCCCCACTGACTGGTTATCGGGTGGGCTTCATGACTGTTGACTGGCTTGTCTTCTCCGCCCGTCTCGTGTAGCATGTATCTTGGTTCGGTGATTACTTCCACTCCTCCCTTTCCTTTCTTATTCACTCCAAAAGTCCCTAAATTTTTGCTGGCTTTTGCTTCTTATCCTGGACAACAATAGCGTCACCCCTATGACCCCCTAATTCTTGGCTACACTTCAGTTTACAACGGAGTCGATCGACTAGTAGGGTTGCTGTCAAACCACATAGATTACCGTGGATTCTTCCCCACACCCCGATGAGTACGAACAACGGGTGTGGGTGTCTTGTCGATTATCGTTTCTTATCGTCTTGGGTGAAACGCCCTACACGCAGGAAAAAAGCCTTCTTCAGCCTCTTGTCTAGATCGTGATCGCTGTCTCGGTCTGTATGGCGATCTTACTCTGCAAGGTAGATCGGAACCATCTCAGATTCCGGACCATTTATCGCTGTGGTCGCGATTGCTGTTTGTCGGATTTAATCCCTCAGCCAGATCGGGTGTGAACTTCCATGCCTCGCCCCAGAAGACCCGGCGCGCCAGAGCCGAAACGACGATCCCGCAAGGGCTGCTGGTAAGTTTGCAGAATGCCTTCTGTATATATCTTTAAACTAACAATTCCCAGGCCGTGCAAAGCCCGAAAGGTGAAATGGTTTGTCTATACCCTCATCTCACTTTTTGCTATCAAAACCGCTCTTCACGGAGGGCACCATGTTATTGGGTTTTGGTGTTGATGATGAAGCTAATTTCATGCAGTGGAGAGGAGAAGCCGTCGTGCCTCAACTGCCGACGCCAGAATGAACCATGTGACTATAGCATCAGGTTGAATTGGGGCGGGAGGACACGGAGAAAATCTTCTATAGACTCCCCCAGCTCTCAGTCCAGTAGTCCACCGGGCCACTATGCCACCTTCAGTTTCTCGCCATCGAACCAATACCATCCGGATGCCCCGAGTCCGGTCCAGCCATACACACCCTTTTCCATGCGAGACGGAACGACTGCGCCAGATCAAGCTGCAGGGGACTTGCTATGGGATGTCGGACTTGCAGGGGGAATGGAAATAGGAACATCCACAACCAGTCCTAAAGGATTACATGATATCCTCCATGAATCTCCGACTGCCTTTGGCCAGTTAAATAATGAATCCAACTGTACAAATGGCAAGACCTCTGTAGACATGGGGGCTACGTCGCAAGATCAAGAAGCGACCTCCCCATGGCCAGATTTGTCCCCCGATTTAGCCACATCCTCGTCGAGCGAGACCCTGCTCGCTTTCTCCCCGCCTGTACCCTCATCGCTGGACACCATCTCATACCCATCGCCTGCAGATACGAACTCGACTATCGGTTCATTCGCGGCTTTTAACTTTTCCTCTGCCACGATATCGAGGCCCATTTCGTTCCTCCGACATACATCGGATCTCCATCATTCCCCACCCGACTCCAATCACATGCCCGAATTTCGTACCGAGTTTTCTAGCTATTCCTCGTCTACGGATGTGATGAGTATCTATGCAGACTTCCAGTCACATTCATCTTCCTCTGCTCAGAATGCGGCATCGCCAGGGTCGGCAGAAGCAAGTTTGCTTTCGTCAGGATTGGCTCACGAGGCCCCAGCGCTGCAGGCGGGTCCAGCCGTCCATACGGAGAACTTCTTCAGCAAGATCATGAACGATCCTCTGCATCCTGATAGCCAATCCGATGGGGTTTATTCTCGCACAGGATACGTCTCCCATGCTGCTGACAGTGCAGGCCAGAGCCTATCGGAACTGGAGGATGTTTCCATGTCGGAAAAGAGATGGCAAGCTTATCTGACCAGGGTCACGGACAATTACGGGTTGGATTGCGGGCGCCCGGATCTCGATCTCAACAAGAACGACGATCATTCCGCCATTGACATCAACTACGCTTTGGATTTGATTAATTCGGACAGTCGACCTTCCGCTTCCAACTCGGAAGGTTTGCATACAGAGAATGCAAAGTACGATGGATCTGACTGCAACAAGCGTAGCTACTATGCATCGCCGGTACCAATCAATATACCGCGGTATCTTTCGCCGTTGCCACCGTCACTCGTAAAGACGCCAATTAATCTGATGTATTTCCACCACTTTCTCAACCATACCGGTCGCATGCTGGTTCCTCATGATTGCGAAAATAACCCGTTCATCTCGGTCTTACCGACCAGTACGTACCATTAGAGGACTTTACTCAGCGCGTTTACTGACATGAACTAATTAGTGGCAATTGGCGACTCTAATCTTCTAAACTTGATGCTGGCATATTCTGCTAGTCATCGGGCGCGGTATCTGGGCCATCCTGAGCCCGCAACCCGAATTGCACACTGGGTGAGCAATGTCTTTCCCACTCTGCGCTTGGCGCTTGAGGATCCCCGTGAGAAGGTGACCGACAGTCATCTTGCGACTGCCATCATGCTTCTTTCTCTTAAAATCATATCTCCCAGCACGTTTGAAGTGCCCATCCCATGGCAAAGTCACTTGAAGCTTGCTCGGGATCTGTATCTGGCACGACAAGAGCAGATGTCATACCCTGGAAATCGTGTCGGCGCATTTCTCACGCGCTGGCTGGGATACATCGATCTCATGGGCGCTCTATCGTGCCGGGAAAGTGGACCACCACTGTCTGCATATCAATCTGTTCTGGCGGTCTGCTCTGATGCAGGAACACATGGCGAATATTGTGTTGACTGCTTCAGTGGGTTTACGCCCAAGACTGGCTTGTTTCTAATGCAGCTGGGAAGATTGACTCATGAGTGTGACAACGAGCGTTTCGACGAGAACGGAGTCTTTCTTCCTGACTGGGAACCATCACCAGGTGTTGCCTTTGAAGCCGAAGCCTTGATAGCGGATCTTGGCGCTTTGGAAACCTACGCCTATGCTGATGCAGCGCACTTCGGTCCGAGCAAGACCGATTTTCTAGCCACTGACCGGGCCTTTCGCTATGCAGGGCTGTTGCACCTTCATCGTCGGGTGCTCAATGCGTCGCCCTTTTCAGAGGCGGTTACGGGGGCCGAACAAGAGCTCTTCAAGGCAATAGGCGATATCCGGCAGAGTGCGTCTGCAGAGGTCGGGGTTCTGTTCCCGCTGTTCACTGCAGGCTGTGAAGGTCGAGATGCCGCGCAACGAGCAGAAATTCAAGAGCGTTTCGATTTCCTCGAAAAAACAGGAATGAAACAGGTGAGTCGATAGCCATTCGCGCAGTTAACATGTCTGACTTTGTCTCTAGATGCAAAGCGCTCGTACGCTGATGCAGCGATGCTGGTCCGAAGACTTGCCGTGGATCGCATTGGCTCAGGGCGAGTTTCTAGGGTAGCCAGGCAGGTAGAATTCTGCACATCATTCTTGCTCATAAGCAATTGCTACTGGGTGAAGTGCATGTATTGTACCTGTACCTGCAGGGTGCGTCACGCTTACTGCGTTTATCTCATATATGAAGCGAACGCAGACAGCAGGCCTGACTTTACTGAACATACTATGTACATATTCGGAGGCCGTTAAGGGATGGTCATTTGTAGAAGCTGTTGGTCTTGGAACCGCCCATTACAAGTGTCGTAGTACCACCACACCCAAGGCACGTTGTATACTCAGAAAAAGTGATTGTTTGTCTCTTTGCTCGAATGGCCACACGAGGGTTTCAGATTTCTCTCTAGTAGCTTTATCATCCAGCTTAGTAGATGATTCTACATTTCCTTGAAGCGAGACCAATTCGGTTTCACCTCATTCTACCCTCCGCAAACTATATCTTAGTAGCGATCGCTAAGAATTCTACTATTATTTTGAGGCCCTCATCTCTTCTATCCCTTTATACTCTTCATAATCCCCTCTTCTACAGATCTCGGTAGCGATCTGCGAAATATCCTCTATAAAGGCCACTGGTACTCTGACTGCTTCCAACCAACACAATTTTTCCTGGATTCGCATCGAATACCTTGACACCTAACGAAAAGAGAGGTTGCCTGGTGACGAAGCACGCCACGAAGCTGTGACGTGAAGAACTTCACCAAACGCCCACTAGGTACCAGCGCCACTTCCCAAAATGGAAGGGTGCCCCTCCCAGCCATACCAGGATGGTCCTCAGAGTGATTTGGGAACCATTCTAGTCCTAATACTTATAACCATAGTGTTTCTTTGCTTTTTGGTCTATCGCATAGAATCTTATGTACTCCTGATGCTTCAGACGTGCGAGCGGACAGACATGGCTCACAAGAAGGATAAGAATAGTCTGCAGCTGGAGCGGACCGCGCTGGCTCCAGTGAATCCTTGTGCTCAGAATACTGCTCCGCTCTCCAGTCTCCTGGACAGTGGACTGGACGACATCAAAGTCCCCAGCCTGCAGCCATTGTCACCTATCAGAACGCCTTCTATTGTCCGGATCACAATTCAAAAGGAGCCTACACAGAGAGCGACGAGCCTGCTCATAGACCAGCACGTCGACAATCTGTCTATTCCCGTGCTGGAACCCCAGAGAGTGAGTCCTCGTTCTAATTCAACTACCACTATAACCCAAGTTCGACCTCCATGGTTAACCCGTCTGGTGTGCGTCAAGAAACAGCCGTTCGTCACCATGAAACCACCAGTGCTTGTGCCGTGGGATGGTACAATCAAATGGGCTATCCGAGGATCCAGTATTTTTGAGACTACGGATGAAGAACTCGACGCGTTGCTGTACCGCCCGAATATTGTCAGCAAGGAACCTCCAACTGAGCTCTGGATGTTCCAGTTTGGCTTGCGCTATATCCCTGCTGAAGGTGACAGAGATGTACACCGCGCCGTCACTATTGAGAATCTACCATCAGATGTGACCCTGCAGCAACTCTTACCTCTAGTTACCGGCGAAATCTACTCAGCACACTTCCTCGATACTGTATCTATCACGGGGTCAAACACTGCTTTCATCGTCTTCGTTGCCCAGGCAGATACTGTTGACTTTCTCAAAGATTCCGGCGGTAGTCTTGCCCTGAGGACGACACAGGCTAAAGTGACCCTAGTCCCGACTCCAACTTATCCTATGGCGGCTAGTATGGCACGGCTGGTTTTCGAAGAGGGTCATACGCGGTGTGTCTGTATATCTGGTGTGCGGGATACTTTGAAGGGAGAGATTCGTCGGGTCTTGGGCCGGTCGCCGTTCTTGGATCATCTCGAACGGATCGAGGACGGACAGGTGCTTGGGGATGTCTATGCTCGGTTTCACTCTATCAAGGTGGCCACTGCCGCCTATAACCTTCTGGAGAGTCATCCGAGCTTCCAGAAGTGTAAACTCCGGTTTCTGGCAGCAAGACCTTTGGCGCGGCAACCTCGTATCGGAATTTGGGATTGAAGAGCAGTCTCGTCTTTCCGCACGTCTGTACAGTAGCTAGCCTTTATATCGCTTCATTGCTGGCGTTAATGGAGATCCTTCAGTAGTAACCGGGACTTGGTAAGCAAGTAAGCAATGCCTAGAATTTCCCCGCATGGGGGCGGGTCTCCAGCATTCCTAGCCGAGCTCTCCCCGGCTTTGACCCATCCACAGTAACCATCGCATCATCCATTGCCATTGATCCGCGGGTACACTACTTAAGACAACACAGCTTCGATGTCATTACTCCAGCTGAATTCGGAAGGGAACTTGATCGCCGTGCTAGCGCATTCCACGGTAACACACACATAGCCGACTCAGACATGGAAGTCCTTGCTTCATCCTGTGCAGACTTCCAACGCGGGGAATAACCCTTCGTTTGGGCCCGACTAACTTTTGGGTTTCCTCCTCCAGTTTATCTCGGGCCAATCGTTCTCACGCTCACCCTTGGCGATCATTATGATGGGTTTCTCACTGGCTCCGTTGGCGCTGATCGGTCTGTCTATCCTCGCTTCTTGACCCTAGATCCTTCGCGAAGAGCATCGTCATTCAGCTGCAGCTACGATCACGATGGGATTACCAATTGCCGGAAGCCCACCCTTTAAAACGCTACTGGTACCTCCCCTCCTCCCTTCACTGCTCCTCTCCAGTGATTTCTTTTCGCTCCTCAACCTCCATCTCTCCCAGTGCCACACAACATCACAATGGCGCAGGTCGACGAGAAACCAGCGATGCACAATTCCTCCCGTGGTATGGTGGATACCGAAAAGGCTACTACAGTTCACGGCTCACCAGAGGAGTCACAACTGGATTTCCTGGATGACCCAGATGAAGGCTTGAGTGAGGAGGAAAGGGCGAAGATCGTGAGTAACCTGCCCAGGTCAACACTAATAGGGGTATTGAGCTGGACTAATGCAATCACCAGGATCGTGCATTACTGTGGAAACTTGATTTGCGGCTCATCCCGTGGTTGAGCTTGCTGTACCTGATTTCTTTCTTGGACAGGTATGCATAATTGCTCCAATGACCGTTTTGGAAATTAATGTGGCTTTAATAGAACAAATGTTGGCAATGCCAAGCTCGCTGGTCTCCAAGGGGACCTACATATGACTAATTCGCAGTACAACGACTCTTTGACCATTTTCTTCGTGTCATACGCGATCTTCGAACCTATCACCAATGTTCTCCTCAAGCGCTGGCGACCTAGCGTGTTTATTCCGATTATAATGGTAGTATGGGTATGGACAACGAGGTCTTACGCTGGTTGATCTGCGCTGATTTGAGACAGGGTATATGCATGACTTGTATGGGACTCGTACACAACTTCTCTGGGATTATGGCGGTGAGTGTCTGCATACATCAACAAGTTCCGAATAGCAGAATTCGCGCGGCGCAATTATTGGCCTGCTGACAGTAGTAGGTACGATGGTTCCTTGGCCTGGCGGAAGCCGGTCTCTTTCCTGGCGTTGGATACTTCTTATCCTGCTGGTACAAACGATCCGAATTCGGCGTTCGCATGGCCATTTTCTTCTCCGCCGCTGCCCTCGCGGGGTCATTTGGAGGATTGCTCGCGGCTGCGATCGCCCTGATGGATGGCATCGGAGGCAAGGCGGGCTGGTCTTGGATCTTCATTCTCGAGGGTCTGCTGACGATCGTCATCGGCGTGCTGTCCGTATGGATGGTCTACGACTTTCCGGACCAGGCCAAATTCTTGTCCGAAGCGGATCGCAAGCGTGTACTGCGTCGTCTGGCGGCTGACAAGCAAGCCAGTGCCGGGTATGAGAAGTTTGAGATGACTTATTTCTGGAGCAGTCTGAAGGACTGGAAGACGTATCTCAATGCGATCATCTACATGGGTTCATGCATGCCGCTATATGCATTCTCCCTGTTTACCCCGACTATCATCAATGAGCTAGTATGTCCTCTACATGTTGACTATAGTAAACAGTACTAACCGTAATAGGGTTTGTTTTGTACTCCTCTGATTTGATAGAGATCTAACCGGCGCAGGCTATACCGCGATTCAGGCGCAGCTGCTCAGTGTCCCGCCTTATGCCGCGGCAGCTATCGTCACCGTGGCAATCGGTTTTATCGCAGATCGGACCGGCCAACGTGGCATCTGCAACATTGCGGTGTCACTCCTCGGCATCGCTGGGTTCTCCTTGCTTCTTGGGGCCAATTCCGCAGGTGCACGATATGCAGGGGTATTCCTGGGCGCCATGGGCATCTACCCCGCGATCTCGAACACGATTTCCTGGGCCAGTAACAACGCAGAGGGTATGCATCTCAATGATAGTAGAGAATCATGGCTAACGGTGACAGGTGTGTACAAGCGCGGTGTCACGCTAGGTATTGTCATTGGCTGGGGCAACCTGAACGGCGTGGTGTCATCCAACATCTACCGCGGCGGAGACGCGCCTCAGTACTATCCGGGTCACGGGGCGGTGCTGGCATATTTGGTGCTGTTCCTGTTTGGTGGATCAGTCGTGCAGTATGTTCTCCTCCGGCGGGAGAACGCGAAACGCCGTCGGGGAGACCGAGACCACTGGATAGCAGGACTGGAGAGACAGGAGATCGAGAAGCTTGGAGACAAGCGGCCAGACTTTATATACACGCTGTAACTCTACCAGATCCAGCAGAAACCCAAACAACATCATCACTCACTTCCCCAATCCACAATCTATAATCTAAACCCCCTCCCTCACCGTATAATAATTCACAATATCCTGATCCTTCTTCGGCCCCTTGACCACATGTCTACTCGCCCAACTAACCACCTCCCCAATCCCATCCCCATCCCCATCCCCACCATCACTATCATCCTCAGTCTTCACCACCCGAAACGCATACGCCGTCCGATACATATCATTAATACAGAGATGATTCCCCCTCGCCGTAACCACCACCGTCTGTTTCCCCCGTCCTTCTCCTCCAGGTATAGTCGCCGGCGGCGGCACCGGCGCACTCACAAACTCCTCCCCTTCCTCATCCTTATCCTTATCCACATCCCCACCACTCCCAGATTCATCATTATCAAGAAACTCCATCCCATGAAACAAATAATCCGCGACCTTCTCATCACCCACTTTCACAAACCAGACGGATAAATCATCCTTAACTGTAGGTGTGAATGTCGCTGTAGATGGGGATGGTTTCAACCTCCAGATATAACTCTTCTTCCATTGGAGATTATGTCCGATGTGTGGCGGCAGGGTGCCCGTCTCGGTGTAGAGGAGTTGGCGCTGCGGGGAGGGGGGATCTTGTGTGGTGTCAGGAAGAGAGGTGAAGGATGCGGTGCCGTGCAGGTTGCCGTTGATGTCGTGCGGGTTGGCGCTTTTGAGGACTCGGAGGAGGGTCCAGTTTTTGGTGGGGAGGGAGGTGAAGAGGGTATTCAAGTTGAGGGTTGTCATTGTGGGGGCATGGTATGGTTGTGTGTGGTTGTGGTGGTGTGGTGAAGAGAGGTGGGAGAGTGACGGTGACGGAGGGATGGAGGAATGGAGGGGGGAGAAGGGCGGGTGGAGATGCGGGAGGTGGATGTTGACCCACTGAGCTAATAGTAGTCTTGGGTTAATACTTAATAGATCTAGTATTGAGCTATCATCAATGGAGTGAGTTTGATTATTTTGAAGTTTCTCATTGACGATCTTCATTGATGATAAGTAATACAATATTTCGTTCCATTGAATGCGTCTTGTAAATTTGAACGCCCACTTTTTATCAACTGGTCTGGCACCAGTTCTCACAATTCCTAATTCTAAAAAGTCGCTAACAGATCTCTACTACTCAAGTCTGAAATGCTCATTCGAAGTACCTACTACTGCCACACATGTATATTTGTACATTCTGCGGTATCATAATCTAACCTCATATTCTCTACAGCGCAAACCCACATCGACTTACTCCCCGGCACGCATTACGAATCCAATGTATAAATCCTGATCAAACTGGAATTATATCAAAAACCGAAGAAAGCTTTTGCTCATTATTCTATCTGGTTAACTTTTATCTACCCATAGCAACCATAATAGCAGCATAATTTGCTCCGTACAAGCATACACTCATCACTGACGCAACAACTATCCCAGCAACACCATCTCGCATGACCTAGTTGTGCCTAGGCGGATCCTGCGGCTTGTCATCGAGGGGCTTAGGCTTAGGCTGGGGCTTCGGCTGGGACTTCGGCTGAGGCTTTGGTTGAGGCCGAGGTTTTGGCTGAGGATTCTTAGGAGGCTTCGGTCCATCGTCGCGCTTCTGTGGGGGATTCGGGTCGTTGGGAAGGGGTCCGTCCTTAGGGTATTGAGGGATGGGCTTGGGCTGATCATGGGGCTGGGGATCATTCACAGGCTTGGGAGCGTCGGGTGTAGGCTCATCCTTAGGAGGCTCCGGGGCGTCACGCTTGTTGTTGTCGTGGGGTTTTGGAAGAGGAGCGTTGGGAGGAGGGTTGGGGTGGTGGTGAGCTTGGATATCAGTAGGGCCTGGTGGTGTTAGCTTAAGGGTATGTCAAGGTGTTGCAGGACATACGTGGAGCAGGAGGAGCAGCGACAACCAGGCCGGCTACCAGGAAGGTAGAGAGAACTGCAGAGAACTTCATTTTGGAGGACGACAAAGATTGAAGGGATTTGAAGGCTAAGAAAGGGCGGTTCTCTTTATTAGTGAGTTTTAGTGTTGCTAATGAGTCAATAGCCGGGCTTCAATGTCCCTTACATATTTTTCGACATGCATGTTCGGAGCATCATTGGCCTCAACAGTCCAGTTCTCAACTACGAACTGCAGAAAACTTCATCCGGTGTTTTCATCCGAATACCCTCGTGCTATCTTTGTCTAGACTGAATAAACTTTGCATCTATCGAACCATGGGCTTGATGTATCAGCCCTGCCGTGTTTCAACCTTGCATCAAGTTAGCAGAATTCTAAGTAGAATGGGATCAGCATTGGATAAACCAGTCGAGAATTTTCCACTCATCAACAGTCTTAGGAAATATGTAACGACTAGCAGTTTCATCTCTGTTCAAACTACATTCGCTTTCTCCGCAACTGCCCCAAAATTGGGTCCAGGTACGGTGCCCATGCAATATTCTTCGGCTTCTCGGGCTGGCAGCGTTCGTCGATCATGAAGCTTTAGCGTTCTAGATGTCGATCAGATGCTATTATTTTACTGGGATTGTGAGTCGACTTTTAGTTGACAGTCACTGTGACCATCTCATGAACCACAAATCAGGCGTATTGCAGGGCCAGTTTTCAAGATGTTGCTACGTTCATATCACCAGTAAGAGCGAGCTTTTCCTAATATCCGGATAGGACATAAACCATATTTGTTCTTCGGAGAATGTCTAAGTTTTTATACATCCCCACCATGTTTCTGAACTGATACCTCCCAGTCTAAGATCCCGACTACCGGATAACCTTATATCCAGTCCCTGGACCCTCAGACCAATCCCCAATTCTACCGGTGCAGGGTTTTCCTCATCTGAAACACTCACACTTACAGAAGATATATCTCTATATGCTCATACCACCTATCAATCTAGAACCGAGCAGCCGGACGTACCTAACATATTTGGTATATATCCGTGCCCGCATAGGGGCAGTTATAACCCGATCTAGAGCACAGGAAAACTTTAAAAACAGGTACAGAAATTGTTATGTCGTAGGCTATGTGATTGTAGGTAGTCGTTTGATATACTACCAACAATATAGGCATTGCGGATAAGAGGGAAACATGACAATATTCTAGTCATCCCTTAGTGAAACTTCAACGACCTTCTAATTCATGATTCATGAATATGGCAGCGCGGTAGTGTTCTTACTACTTACTTCTGTCCGTAAAGAAGTAACATAAGCTCTACTCCTTCACTCCAACACAAGAATAGAATATGAATAAGCAAAAAAAAAAAATCATCACTCGGATGAAGTAATGCTCTCCGTGATCGGCACTGCGAACCGAACCGTGAGTTAAATGAAACTTGGCTATACTTAGCGGGACAGATTGCAAAGTTTGATGATGAAGTAAGAAACGAGAGGGAGAATATTCTCGTAGTATGTTTAATGCTGATCATTGCTTGAGTTGCTTGGTCAGTTTCTATAGTAGTTCTCGAGCTAGGTTGTTGGGGTACTGATTATATTTTAGTGTGAGTCCTATCTTTATAGTAGCTGTCAGGGTAATGACTTGATGTTTGTAAGAATGGATAGTGCCTTGACCCTCTTATTTGATATATAGACAGCCTCAACTAAGTATCAAGGATCAAGCAATATTGTCAGTACGAATATTCAGCCAATACTCTTGTATTTGAGATATCATTTCCTAAGAGCAGTAAGAGATCCCGAAAGCGGTAGTACCACTTTGGCTGAGCCTTTTCCAGCTGCGTTCCCCTAGTAAATAGTAAAAGCAGTGGCAGAAACCGTCACCGACCGCCCTATTGACCGCTCAAAGCGGCAGAACCTAGCGAACCTCGCTGCGAAAAGCCCGGATTTAAGCGGATTTAAGACATTCCAGTTCCCAGAACACTCACCTGAAATCTGTATGTTTTTTGACCGCTTTTCGGCAGGGTGGCAGAAAATGGTCGCCAGCGAGTTACCTACATTGGAGTATTAGTGTTGTTGTGGATATCGATGAGCAATATCTATTATTTTGATGGATGGTGTCTATCTGTGTATCTGTGTGGTCGAGTTAATGAATATGGCATGTTGTTGTCCTGTATAGCTTGATTTGTTAGACATTCGTCGTTGTTGACTTTGCTATACTAAGTATCCATAGGACCTAGGGCCTCTCCGTGGTCACAGTATCGTCTAGATACTCTTCTTTTTGATGAAGGATTTCATGCCAGTATGATGGGAGTAATACTACTAGTAAAGAGTTTTTACTCTGTTTATCTGATGGTTGCTTTCATCGAAGAAGCGTATTCAATTGTTGCTTGTTGCCCGACCGAAACCAGTTTCCCAATTAGCTTGATATCATATGCGTTTGTAGATGAACTAATATCATCAAGTTATGTCGAGATCAGAGCTCAGTATCATCAAATACAGCCTAATGCTCCATGCTACTAGACCAAGCTCATCGATTAATGCAACATGTGCGGGGATCATGGCGTGCGCAAGAACCCCGCATGCCACCGCCGACGATCCATCTCTATCTTTCATTCTTGAATTCTCGAAGTCAATCATCGTATCAATCAAGTCGTACAAAATAGAGCAAATCATCCAGTCATGTCCTCACAAAAAGTCTATCTGGACCATCTGCTTCTCCAATTCAGCAAGGAAGAGTTCGAGTCGCCGTCCAAATGGTTGACTGATCACTTTACCATCATTGAAGGTGGCACTCATGCGGGTAAGATATCAATTGGCCCTTGTTGACTATCGGATAAGATCTTTTGCACATGCTTATACCCGGCAGGTGGTCTGAGTCGCAACAAACTAATAATCTTCCCCGACGGAACTTATCTGGAACTCCTTAACTGGATAACCAAACCAGAAGATTGGAGGGGCCGACCGGGAGATTTTGCGCTTACTTCTTTGGCACCCGTCTCGGCCGAAGATAACCATGACCGTATAGTCAAAGCGCTGGATAACATCTCTGATGACAGCCTGGGGGTGACGTACTCGCAGCCGATCGACGGAGGACGTCAGACACCCAGTGGGGTTGATATTCGTTGGAAGCTACTGAAGGCACGTTATTCCGATACGCAATCAACTACGCCAGATCTCCATCCTCGAGGCCGCACAGATGCACCCTTCTTCTGCCATGATGTCACGGACAGGGTTCTGCGCATCCCGTATGATCAGTCTTCTGTCGTTGATCACCCGTCAGGCGCGACAGGGATTGCGGGCATCGAGCTGCTCGTGCCTAAAGATAGACTGCAATCCTATGTGGCCCTTTATACGTGCATAGTGGGAGCATCCCCGCGCTTGTCCACTACCGAAGCGGAGTTCGAGCTCAAAGCGCCGGGTTCCCTAGATTTCTCCGGAGTTCTTCGCATTCGGGCTGCAACGTCAGAAAATGATGATCAATATCTGCGGGAGAAAGGGATTGGCATTTCATCTCTGATAATCCGATCGAAAGCTATCGGGGATTTTCGTTTTCCTGTATCAGATTATCTGCATTGAGGTGCTCGTGCTAACCCGTATGTACCAATGCAATGTTGCAACCTATGCCGTAAGGTATTAGTCGAAGAGATGGATTATCAACCGATGTATCACTGTACTGCAGTCGCAGATATCAGTCCCTTGTAGCGAAATCATGATGTATGCGCATTGCCTGTATCTGATAACTTCATGAGGTCCTAGTAGACCATAAGTAGTCCTAGATGCTCTTGCCAACTGTTCCAAAAACAGGCAGATGCCTGATCGAGCAAGGGATCTGTCATCCTGGCTTTTCCGACCGTATAATGATCTTTTTATAGGTCGCAGATCGATCAGGAGGTACATGGCCCTTGCTTATCATTTCCGCATTAGTAGAAATTGTTCTGGCTTGCTAGAATGCCCGCGGGGCATCTGCTTGAAGTCAGCTGTGTTGCTCACCGCTGGAGTGGTCACTGGGATGAGCTCGTTCAGCTGCTTCAGCGCATGCTGCGGAGTCGTATCGCTAAAGGTAGCCGTACTTCTACTCCTATCTGCACCGGGTGAGCCACACTGGGACAGGTCCTGGTGGCGTCATGGACACATTCCTCCCTGCCCCTGGAATGACCGATCAGCCCGGGGATGAAGGAGATCGGTTCCATCCGGCATCCAGAGTGATCCGTGGATCCACGGCTTTTAAACTCAAATCAGAGGAATGTGTCAAACGATATCAACAATGTGAACTTAGAATTCATGTCATGTAGATGTTAGATTGTTGAGTGGTGAGCAAAGCGACTGATAGATTGGGGCGATTGCAGATATTCATCAGTCATCCAAGGAGGCGACTGAAGCCAATAACTCTGAGACACTTCCCCAGGATTACACCCTCGCAATAACCCTGGATGTGAAGGTATCACGGCACCGTTGCATTGTGGGGCTTGGAACCAGGCGCCCCAGATTATTGGGAATAGTGTGCTGCAGAAGATACCCACAGGGCAGTTTGACAGGGCAACAGCCACGGATTCGGGACGACGCATGCGGCGAGGGTTGAGGGGGGAAAGACTGAAAGGGTCCGCGGAAAGCAGGAAGATGTAACGAGGTACTGTTAGGGAGATGGGGACAAGTGGATCCCAGTTGCAGGGTGTTGAGATTTGAGGATGATGAAGATGAAGATCTGGGAAAGTAACAGACTACAGAATAGAGTCAAGAGGGGGGCAAGAAAAGAAGAAAAGAATGAGATGCGATGGGGCCCAAATCAGCGAGAAAGGCGTTCAGGGTCCAGACTGCGCGGCCATAGATTAAAATAACCGGCAACTAAACTGGAGGAGGAAAAGAGCATCAGCAAGACTTCGTAAAGGACTCCATTCTTACGCAAACCTGGACTTCGGGCGCAAATGAATTTTCGGCGCTACGCAGTGGGCCTAACCAGGGCGAAGCAGGACTAAGCAGGACTAACCCCCAAGGCAGTAAGCATCATCCGCCCGTGTCTCCTCCGGCCGCAACCGGCCAGGCAATCCTTCCTCACTCAATCTTCCTGTCTCCTCTTCCTGCCCTCCTTTCGTAATTATTATTCTATCGTTTCCTTATCCTGTCTGGTCCTTTTCGCTCCCTCGCCTATTCCCGCTGTTGTCGAGGGCATCTCATCGGTCCATCTATCCCGTCACTCGTTCGACTCGGTCTCCCACCACTACCACCACTCTCAACTGCCACCTTCGCTACGCCCGTCCATCGCCAATTATCATATTCTTTCCCTCCCCGCCACCACCACCACCACTCACTCGCCTTGGACTAGATCATTATCGTCATATCATGGTGGGCACCTCCCAGTGAACGATTTCTCTCCTCCCCCCGACGGTCCCCACCGCCCTCCTTTCAGCCGCAAGATACCTCGTCATGGCACGTTGGCCCCGGGCCTTGACCCTCAGCCATGCTGCCAATTCGACCTCGACCATGCTCTTCTATATCTCCTTGATCTCCATCGCTCTCTCGACCGTTGTTCGCGCTCACACTGTCACCCTTCTCCCATCTGCCGCCTCGTCCGACTTCCCCTCATGTGCTTTGACCTGCTCGGTCTTAAAGGAGGCCCAGAATGAGTGTGTGCCTCCCGTCGCCGCCCAGACCGATCATGCGACCTACGTCTCGTGCTTCTGTCAGTCAGCTCTGCTCGACCAGATTCATTTTCCGACTGGGGTCTGCACAGAAAGCTGCCCCAGTGCGTCGGATCGTGCGTTGATCCGGACATGGTATGACGAATTCTGCTCGTCCGAGGACACCCTCGCCGCAAGAGACACCACTACCTCCATTTTCGCGAGAGATGCGCGCTCCCAGACCTGGTAGGTAGCCCCCGCTCCAGTGACCACCTGTACCGGCGCAAATGTTAACATAACTAGGTGGACCACCCACTACCAGTGGGTGATCATGGTTATTGTCCTGGTGGTCGCGTTTTCCGTCATCACCGTCGTGGGCGTCTGGCTCAAGCGTCGCCATGACCGAAAATACCCTGGCCTCTACCACGCTACTAACACGGCAGGAACGGATAGCGCACTGTTGGCAGCCCGTCAGCAGGACAACAGTTCCTCGCCTCAACCGGGACCTCCCCCACAGGGCTCGTTCAGACCCGGCCGATTCGATCCCACGTTAAACTCCGAGTCGATTGCCAGCAGTTCGCGCACCAATATCACCGCTCCGACGACCCGGCCCGCTCGAAGTTCGTCGCGTCTACAGAAGGCCCAGCCAGTCCCGGAGGGCGATATCGAAATTCGCGAAGTTCACCGGTGATCTCCGTGCATGATTACGGTTTCTTTCTTTTTGTTGTTTGCTTTTTCTCTTTTACTTCAAGTGTCAATCTTTTCCTACTTTGAGAGCGGGAGAAATGCGCCGTTCACATCTTTAGTACCGGCATGATGTGGGTAAAGCCAGTCGGGAAACAAATCCGCGCAGCTCGCGAAACAAACTTGCATATACCTGGCGTTCACGTGTTTGTGGGGTTCAACTGGGAAGCTCATGTCCAGTTTCAGTCCGATTCCCTATCGTCCCACCCTTACACTTCTTTTCTTCTTCGTCGTCTTTTGGCTCTCTGCCTCACCTGCTCCGAATGATTGTGCATAAATATGGTTCAGGTTTTCATTTGGCTGTGGTTACTTTGACTCTTGTGATCGAATATAGTCCTTTCCGTTGCTCGCTTTCTTTGGTGCATCGATTTTATACTCCTATACTCGGAGCATGACCAGGATCGAATATATATATATGACTGATTTGTAAGATTCTTATTTTGATTGAGCAGGGAATGCACCTACCAATGCAATAACAGAAATCAATGAAAACAAAAAGTGACACAATATACTGTTTTCAAAGTGCCTTAGATTCAATATTGCAATCTGCTAATACATCACTATGTTCATTTCAGGGTCAAACTACTTACTCCGAATACTAGTACTAACATGACAAAAATTTATATCTCTAAACACTAATTCATTAAACCCTTAGTCTAACCCAAAAACAGTGCAATAATAGGGAATACTATCGGATTTCTCACAAACCAACTACCAATGCTTCTAATGCATGTTTGTCATAACTGACAATAACCTTAACTCAAGAATAAATCACTGGCATCAGCAACTTCCCAAATGATTCCGTCGCATGGGGATAGTACTAGGTAGTACTTCCTCCTTCATATGTTTCTCCTATGGAGCACTACTTATACACTATATTGATCATCATGGAACGGACACTGGAATATCAAGTGTACTTACTTATACTATTAACCCACTCAATGGTCATAAAGGTTCTCAGCAATACATGATATAAACCATACGATGTTTAGATGGTTGTTAAGGGCCGTCGTCTTTTACAATCATTCTTGTAACTATGAACTGATCAGAGCATTCTACCCTGGACTTTCGTAGCTGCCATGGCTCGAATAGTGTACTCGAGAGGACATTCTTAATATCACTAGAAGGGCACAGCATTGTTTTCCAGTACTGACTTCAATGATATACTTTGAGTGCTAATTTACAGGGTAGTAGTATAATATAGAAAAAGGTGGTAAATAAAAATGCAAAGCATTCGCTGAACCCATGAGTCAAGAACCAAAATAACCAAACCAAACCACACAATAAGAACAACCCCCTACGTAACCGTTATACTGACGATCTTGATATCCTGTTCTGGCTTCTCCTTGAACGTCTTGGTATTCTCAATCTTATGCACGACATCCAAGCCCTGCACTGCACGGCCAAATACCGTATGTTTCCCATCCAACCACGGCGTCTTCTCCGTCGTGATGAAGAACTGACTTCCGTTGGTGTTGGGACCCGCATTGGCCATGGACAATGTATACGCTTTATCGTGTTTCAGACTGGAGAATTCGTCCTCGAACTCGCCACCCCAGATGGATTCACCGCCTGTGCCGTCCCCGAGCGGGTCACCACCTTGGATCATGAACTTGCGGATGACACGGTGGAAGATGGTGTTGTTGTAGTAGCCGTTGCGGGCATGGGTGGTAAAGTTTTCGACGGCTTTGGGAGCAGCGGAGGGGTAGAGGCGGAGGTGGATGTCGCCCATGGTGGTGTGCAAGATGGCGGAGGTACCGAGCTCGGCGGCCTTCGGGGCGGCGGCTTCACGGCCGGATGCGGCTTCGCGCGGCCGTTCGTTTTGAATGTCGCGGTTTGATTTGGAGATTTCAGTGTCGTTCGTGAAGAGGTAGAAGCGGACCTTGGCGAAACCTGTGCTGACGAGGATTGGATCGCGTTCTTCGGCTTCTTGGAGGAGTGGGTTGGCACTGGCGGCCATGGATACGGTCACGACGCCCTTCTTTTGGGGTTGGCCTTGGTACATGGCGAGGTTGAGGGAGCGGAAGGGCTCCTCTTTGGCGTAGACGCGGACAACGCGGTTGGTGTAGGTGTTGATGCATTTGATGCCGTAGAGGGAGCCGTAGAGGATGAAGTGGCCGGATTCGTCGAAGAGGACGTTGATCTTGGGCTTGGTGATGGGGTTCTCGAGTTCGCGTTCTACGGCAAGTCGGCGGCCGAATTCGAGCTCGTCGAGCTGGTATATGGCTGTACCGGCTTGTTGCATTGCGGTGATTGTGGACAGCGATTCGTCGTACTTGCGGTAGAGCTTGCCCGTGGCGAAGTCGAAGACGCGGACTTGACGGTCTGGGAAGGAGACGGCGGCAAATTGTTGGCCAGACGGGGAGATGCACAGCGACGCTGGAACTGACTTGGCCTTTCGGAACTCGAAGAGGTTGGTAGAGGACTTAAGCTCGAAGACATTGTCAGGCTTCTCGAAGGAGCCGTCGCCCGCTCGCCAGTACTCAATCATGCCGGTGTCGTCGGCGGAAATGACACAATCGTAGGCGTCGTTGAAGGCAATGGCGGCCACAGGACTGCGGTGGATCGATTTGACGGTGTGCAGAGGGGTCTGGTTTTCACCACGGCCATCGAAGACCAGGATCATGCTGCTTTCTTCGTCTGTGACGGCCAGCAAAGGCAGTGAGGCGCCCCGACGATGGACCCAGCATACGCAACGCGGAGTGAATTCGAGGGTGAGCATGGCAAGAAGGTCTGCAATAGTGTTAGTATACCCGGTCGCGGCAACATCAAAGAGTTTATATGCATACCAAAGGTGATCACATCAAAGATCTTGACCGTCTTGTCTGCTCCGGTTGTCGCAAAGCTTCTTCCATCGGCGCTGACGCTGACGCTC